GCAAAGTAGTGTACAGAATCGAAATATTAAAACTGTCAACCCGATTGAGCGGACCATCAAGAGCACGTTATTTATCCATTACACCAAAACAGTTTTTGACCCTACAAAAATAGTCAATTCCAATGTTTTCATATGCTTTATAACAAACATGTAAAAGCAGGTTCGTTAATAGAAGAATGAGAACTAGTTAACAGCACAGAAAGATAAGTCGTATGTAATAATAAATAAATTATTTTTGTTAACTTTTATAGTGTTTAAGGATTTTGTGTTCATCAAAACCACAGTCAACATTGAAACAAAATGAGGTCAAATCACCATTGGCTGTACATCCATTTATTAATTAACACAGTTTGTTGTATGTATGGTAAGTACAATTTATATAAATATATAAGCCATGTATCACCATCACTGCTGGTGCTCCGATGGATAAATCTGTTGTAGAGTTGTCACTGGTTCAGACGTACTTATAAATATAATTATTTCTGTGACTGTATCTTGCATTAATTTGTAGGATCCTTTACAATAGATATTTCAGCTGATCTGTAACAATTCCATCTCCATGCCTTATATATCATGTACTGTATTACAACGCTAGATTAAAGCTGACGAGGAAAGGTAACACCCGGCCACCGAAAGCTTTATTTTTGTGAAGCCTAGGTGGTCGAGTGGTCTAGCGCGTCGGATACAGTGCAGGCGATTTGGTGTCACGATATCTCAGTAGCATGAGTTCGAATCCCGGCGAGGGAAGAACAAAAAATTTGCGAAAGCAAATTTACAGATCTAACATTGTTGGGCTGATGTTTAGACGAGTTATATATATATATATATATATATATATATATATATATATATATATGTTATATATACGTTATATATGGACCTGTTAGATTAAATGGGATCGTTCTCGGTCAATATAATCTGAACAGATCCATTTATAGCGTATTGACCTCGTCAAAAGTATATAAGTGATAAATATTGCACACTTACTTTCTGTTATGCTCTGTTGATCTACGATATAGATGATAACGAACAAACAAACAAACAAACAAAAACTTTTCAAGCATTTAAAAGAAAAAGATTTAAAATTGTTAATGCGATTTTGATCATAAACAAATGTTTGTTTTTATCGATTAACAATCTGAGCTACATCAACGGTACTTCGGGTGTTTTTTTCCAAACGCCAACATACACCAATGTTAGTGGATTTCGAACTATTCATTGTTTTTTTCTTTGAATGTATCACATCATGTGTTCATAACTGTGTGCAAATGCTGGGTTTTATACGAGTTATATAGAATTAAATTCTTTGTTATTCAGACCTAATACACCAGAAAACCATGCAACATTCAGAAAATCGTCCAAATAACAGTCATTACTAGAAAAATGTTCTCATAACATCTTTATCCTATACTTAAAAAGGATTTTAAAAATCGTATCTATTTTTAGCAACAGCCTAATTTGATAGTACTGTACTTTCATATAGAAACCATTGAAAAATCCAAACTGTTTATGTCTTTTAAAAAAAGACACATTAGTATATTAAATTGTGTAGTTGAGTTTAAATGGTAATGTCAACTAAAACCCATCCGTTTTTCTTTGTTATGATCCTTAAAAATGAAAGTTTAAACGATTTGGCACAATACCAGGAGACTGAACAAGAAAGCGATTGTATTTTTTTTTTAAACCTGATGGTTTTTTACATTTCGTTATATCATGCAAAATCTGCCTTTGATATGAAGGCAACTGATATCAGTTTTAATAATTGAATATGTTTTATATTATAACAAAAACTATGCTCGGCAAATGATTATAATTAATTTAAGCCTTGGTAGAACGGTGATTTTGGTCCACAATTTACAGTTTTTGGTTTTGATTTGAATTAAATTGCAAACAGAGTTGGGAAATTAAAGGCTCATAAATGCATTTGAAAGATTAAAATCAATTTGAAAACAATGTAATTGAGACGCTTTTTAACTGCAAGTGCAAAAATCAATAATTTGTCTGAAACTAGTGTGTCCAGCGTATGTGCTTTTCTTTTGACTTATTTCTCTGGACAAAATCTCCACCTCCAACATGGCACCTTTCATTGATGGATTTGGAGACGTTGTCTACCATGACATTAGCGATTATTTCCGATATTGGAGGAGCTTGTGAACCATCCTAGCATTACACATCGACATATAACAAGATTTTTATAATATATGAATGCACTTAAACCAATATACCATTCACCTCAGACATTTTAAACATTTATTAACTTTAGTATTCCCTTTGGAATCTTCGTTCCTCTTTTATCTTTGTAAGACGATTTAGAACAGTTCGGTGATGTATACACTTTATATACAATATTGTTACTTCTATGCTTTCTAACACTCAAAGGAATGTATACCTTCAACAGCATTTCCTTTTCATTGCTATGTTTGTATATCCCCGCCGTTACTGACCGCCTGTTCCTCTGTCCGTTCTTCCGTCCGTACAATTTTCGTTACTGCACTCTAAATACTATTTTCCTCATCCAAATTTTATGTATCTCGTACACAATGCTGAGAACCATAGGTCGAAGACAAAGTTCGAATTTAGGCAGTGGGTCACCTGCCATTCTAGATTTATAACCCTTTTTACCTTTAAATTGCAATATTTTTGTTTCCGCATCTTAACTAAAGTTTGCCTCATGCAAATTTTATGAAACGCATACACAATGCTTACAACTACAGCACGCAAACAGGGTTGGAATTGGGGCAGTGAGTCATTCACTGTTTCAGAGTTATGCATTTTTTTAGCTTGCAAAAAGCTTGTGCGGGGGCATTTGTGTCCTCAGAAACAGAATCTTTTATCTTGTATATAAACCAGTGAATATTCCAAAAATGCTTTTTATTTGCTGTTTTCGAGCAAATTCATCTGCTCAACGATGGCGCGATATAAACTCAATTTGGTTGAATATTTTCAAAATCGTTTTTGTGTTGTTCGGTCGTTTTGACGGTTTTCCATGGTGTCTACTCCACTGCTGTTGGACGTTTTGTCTCCGGCGGAATCACAAGTCCAGTAGCATGCATTTTTGTGTTGACATGAAATATTTTGATATGTTCTTTCTTTTTACATTTACTGTTTTTACAATGTTAAATTACTCGAAATACAAGGTTCGTCTACCACAAGGCATTTATTGGCTTCGCAGTATTTTGGAATTTCTATTTTTCTGCAACTTTGTATTTGATTCGTCCTTCCAACTGGTTTGATTGAAGCGCCACTGAACACTCTGATATAGACGAAATACACTTCTGGCGTCACACATTAAAGTCCGGGTAATGGTACCTTTCATGCGTTCTCAGAACTACTATGTTGAAACCACTGCTAGAGTTTTTTCGTTCCCGAGGGTATAACCAACCAAGTACTCCACACTTGTGTGTTGACATAAAATATCATAATGATTGATATATCCTTTTTTGTAAATTTATTATTAAATAAAATCTGTTTAAAATTACTTTAAATTCTAAGGTTTTAGATTGCCTTATCCGTAGAAACCATTTCTTAATTTTTGGTATATAATTATCTTAAACTTTGCATTAGATTGAACTAAGTTGATTCAAGCGCTACTAATAGATCTGATGTAGACGGAACGCGTATCTGGCGTGTTAATTAAGATAAGTTTGTTATGATTTTGTACACGAAACGCACTATTGAAAGACTGTTATCTTTGATGAGTTCTCATACCCATGGCCAATTTCATTACATGTACTTGTGGTTATTCCGGCTCCGCTCTGAGCGTTCATAATTAATTTCGGTTTGTCTACGCCTAGGCATGTTTCAGCTTACACAATAATTATCCTTGTACTATAGATGTGTGCACAATCAAAGGCCAATGACCTTGCTGATTTTTACTGTTTATCCGTTTTTGATTATATACTTATGACCCGGATCGGTACTTATACATCCCGCCGTTGTGTTATGGTCAATTTTGAGTTCTTGTCTTTCAGTTTTGCTAATGAATTTTGTCTATATGCCATTTTGTGTTTCTTTGTTTTATAGTGATTAAGATTATATTACAATGTTGACTGCTGTACCATAATTTTTGACGTTTTTACCTATTATGTCTATTTGTTTTGCTCACACATTTTTGTCAATATAATGGAATTCTATGCAACTGTCATACAAGTGAGAGGTTTAGCTAGCTATAACACTAGGTTTAATCACAATTTTCTTCATAAGGAAATGCATGTAACAAGTCAGTTGTTTTCCGTTCGGTAGATTTGTTTGAGCTTTCGTTAGTTGTTTTATGCCGATTTGATGAGTCAATGAATTTCCGACTGTTTTTGACAGTTTTTTTCTTATGTATGGTGGTACACAATGGGCCAAGTTAAGGGAAGGGTTGAACGCTCACAAACATATTTAACCGCACAAGATTCTGTAAGTGTCTGTCCAAAATCAGGGGCCTGTAATTCAGTGCTTCTCGTTGTTGCTGTGTGTGGTATCTGGTTTCTTTTTTTTCTGTCATAAATCAGACCGTTAGTTTTTAGGTTTGATTTAATTCTACGCTTGGGATAATTGTAATTGGAATCATTAATCAGCTGCAATCATCATTATAGTATATAATGATTTTCCTATAATTTAAAAAAATATTTTGTTCCACAATTAATATTTTCAATCCATATATGATAGCGAAATCTGTTTAAGGGTGTACAATTGTCATCAAGTGCAGCTGTGTGTTTAACATTCTTAAATAGCTTTTACGAATTGAGATTTGTTTTGTTTATATTTTTTTGTTTGTATTTCGTGAAATTACAATGAAAGTTCTAATGGATATTTGGTTTATCTTATTTACACTTATTCATGTTATAGTATGTTGTGTGTCAACATATGTTTTAAAGTGTAATTGACCGTGTGTGTACATTTTTACTGACTCTCGTATATATTCTATAGTTTGTTTTATTACTCCATGTTGCAATTTACTGGGTATATTGATATGAAATCATCCTGAAAGAGTGTCATTGCAGGTAGACAAGAAAAACTGTTGTTCTTCACTACATATAATGTAAAAGAGATATATCTGGATATAGGAGTCGTGAAAGACCTAGCTAATACAACGTCAACATCATATTCTATAGCTTACGATGTGAAAGGACGATATGTGTATGCTTCAAAATATCATGAAAATTCCATAGTTAGGTACCATCAATATTTAACTATTGATTAATATTTGTTTTATGAATCGCATTATCTTGACATTTGATTTTATAAAACAAAAAATGTATTGCATGTTACATATTTCACTGAACAAAACATACACAAAAGATGATTAAAAATAATTGTGTTAACTACAACAGCAGATAGAGATGTGATTATTGAAAAAAATGCTCTACTTTATATCTCAGTATAACACTTCTAAACATAGAGCAGTATTATCATAGATAGTTAAAAACAAAATAAATAAATAACAAAACCTGCATTAATAAGGAACAACAACATTTACTGTAACATGATCGAAGAAATTTATATATTTGCCTAATAATAATAATTCTCTCACTTCTCAGATTCCCTTATCCAAATGACCAAAATGTAAATTTTGAAATTGTGGTCTCTGCAAACAATCCATTTGACGTAGCATTTGACTCAGGGAACAGTCATCTATACTGGACAGAATATACAACTTTAGGAATAATATTGAGATGTAATTCAGATGGATCCGATTTAACCACCATTGTTAATGAAACCTTTCCATTTGCACTTACATTAGACACACATAATAGGTTTGTTATATTAGTTACTCTATGTTCTTGAATGTTTGTTATTTGACTGTCTTTTTTTTATTGGTAGAAAGTGTTCGTTGGATTGCATTGATGATATTTAAAAATTATATGATAATATTTTTTACACTAGCTGTTGAAATTCATTTGAGTTTTGAATTTCAAAATGTAACCATGTCGATTGCAGTATGCGACAGGTTCTAGTCCGTTATTACAGCGTTGTAATTTTAAAGGATGAGTTCATCCAGTTTATGTGCCTAAAGCACAAGAATATGTAACTATTTACCCACATTGTTTAGAGGGTAATATATGCAAATCCTCTGATTTTATTAAGGGCTGAAATATTTCTTGTTTCTTCGAAGGAAAAACAAGTGCTTTTGTGTCAACTTTTTGTGTCTCTTGTATCAGCCAAAGGCTTTATTATTTGATACAAGTGTTTTTTCGAAATTCAATAAGAGGAAATATTAAAGATATTTTTCAATGTTTACTTTTAACAACATCATTAGATGGATCTACTATAGTCAATTAGGCAGTAATGCATTACACAGGATGACATTTGAAGGAAAAGAAAAACAGGTAGTAATACAACTGACAGCATGGCCGGTAGAAATAGGTATGTTATCTATAGAGAAGTTTAATGAATTGGTAAGTGTAACCTATTGTATCTGTGTTATGAAAAAAGTAAAAAATATATCAACTGAAAGTATGTAGTGAATATGACCTAACAGATATTAAAGTAATTACCAGAAATTTGCTGTATGAAATTTACTCCGATTTATAAGCCATATATAGACTCTTTGGTTAAAATATTATATACAGCCGACTCTCGTTATCTCGAAGTCAGTCGGACCAGAGAAATATTTCAAGATACCCATAGTTTGACTCAAACGAATACCGGAAGTATGACAGACCAAGGGACACAACTCTTGCTTAGCTTGGTAAGGCTTAATTAAATCCCGGTGGATATGTGTCGGGGATCGATATTTTGGTCTGAGATCGATGTATCTTTATGTAATTGTTGTTTTATGATTATTATAAAATTGATTTTTTTTTTATATTGTCTCTTTTTATTCTTTGTACAGTAACTCCTTTTCTTGTGGTTTTCAGACGACAGTATAATTTTTTACATTGTTTGATAAATTAAAATACGAATTGTACGACAACGTAGATTTAAAATATGAAGATGAATATGTCGCACATAATATTTTAATCTTACCTTTCGAATGTCTAAAAAATATCAACTATGTTGGACATTAATTGGATACAATTGGAAGTCGCTGATGATTAATTCAAAAGTTTAAGACTAATTAGATCTAGACTCGCAAAAAAGTATGCACGCGTAAAAGTCAATGTTTATGGTAACTTTTTTACAAAACGGACAAATCTTGAAAATTAACATTAAAACACAATTTGGAAGACTGCAGTAAATGTGATTCTTTTCCAAACAGGTGACTTCTTTGATAGTTAATGTTTGTTATTTAGTTATTATTCCAGATTTTGTTGACAAACGAGTTTATTGGATGGAATATGACACAGGTGACTTGAAATCGGCTTTGTATAATGGGTCGGATGTCAAAACAGTGACTAGCACCTATTCAATCACCGATAACCGGGAAATTAGTATCATGGGTGATTACGTCTTTTACACAAATACTTATGAAATTCTCAAAGTACACAAATCTTTAGGACAAATCCCAGCTGTTGTGCACACAGAACCAATACAGATCTTTGGAGTGTTATTTTTTAAACAAGGAGGTAAGAATATATCAGCAATTAAGCCAATAAACTATATTAATCATTCTATAAATTGTTAACTCAAACTCAGTGTGTTAAATGAACATAAAATAGGGAAAAGACAGACACCGACAAATTACTAGTATATCAGATGTATTTGAGGATGTTTCATCTATCAATCTGTTATTTTCTGTTTCAATATAATATTTTCTTTAGGTGCCATTCCTATTATTATGTTATAACAGAATTAGTTGTATTAGTGCTATCATAGTAGTATAAATGGTAGTTGTTGTTGTGTGCTGTTAAAAGATGAAATGTATATTCATCTAGCAAATGTTTATAATGTAAAAACAATTATCCTTAATTGATACATATTTGTATAAAGAACATTTAAAAATTTTAGCGATGAAATTCTGTATCTTTTTAGCATGTTGGTTATTGGATACTTTACATGACTTACATTTACATTATGTACTAACCGACGCTTTTAAGCTTTTCTAATGTGTATTATAATTATTTACTAATTCCAACGATGTATGCTCATGAGTTATATAATTATGCTTATTTATACCTTTTTTTATTTTGAAAATTGCATTAAAATTTTCTGATGTTGTTAAATAGTCTAGATACAAGTTAAGTGTGTGAAATTCTTTTCGAATAACTTGTTACTTTGATGTCTTTTTTTATCAAACTATACATATGTTATATCACTCTAATAAATTAAACAAAAGAAATGATATTATCAATAAGTAATGAATTCATTAAAGGGTCTATTTTTAATGATTGAACTCATGGTATTAATAGATTATAAACTTTTTATCACAAACTGAAAATGTTTGCAATATATTTCAGATATGTTTTATTTATTTTGTTTTATCACTTGCATAAAATGCGCAAACACTTCCTTACCATAAAATGTTGGTAATATTGAAATGACTGATATGAATTTATAAGACAGCACTCCAACTACACTATATTTCACTAAATTAAACGTATGAAAATGTCCGATCAATGTAATAGATTGAGTTAAATATTGTTCGTGATTTTATCAACAAATAATACTATAGTAATCATATTTTGACGTTAAAGGATTATTTTAACGGTCGTATTTTTTTTTATTCATATTTGTAAGTGAGTATTACATGCAGTAAATACATTCGCGCCATACTTATATGTACGAAAGTCGTGAATAATTCCAAATTGTCACCTAACATGTGTACACACACATTAATTATTCTGTGCCCATTTTTCTGTTAAATTTAAGCAATGTTTTGGATAATCATACTTTGTTTTTCATTTTTATACATATATTGAAACCGCAAAAGGAGATTAAAGAATTGAGAGAAGCATGTTGGGAAGTTCTGTTTAGTAATCTACGAATAGAAGACAAGGAAGAGACGTAGTAAGTTTTATGAGCTAGGCAAAATAGTTTTGTTTTGTTTTACGACTATTTCCAGTATTTTTCAAGAAAAGGAGTATTTAATTATTTTTAAAGTAATTCTATGTATGACAACATTTCTAGAAATAAATAGTAACTTCTAACACAAATAATTAATGCCATTCACGCATACATGTCATTCTATCCGGATATTTAATAAATGCTATTTTGATATGAATTTCAACAGCATGGCATAACCATGTATTGGATATAGCCCTAATTGTTGGGTCTATTCTAAGTGTATTTAAAGTTTTGTCAAACCTGCGAGAAGTTCAAAATTATTTAAACAAAATTATTTTGAACTTTTTAAATTTCTTTCTATTGTCATGACATGTGAGAAGGCAAGTAAGAACACAGTTAAAAAAAAGATGTCATGAAGCTATTATTATAATAGTTAACTGCAAGTCAAATATTTTGTTCCATCATAATGTGCATCCTTCACGTTAAAAACATACGAATATTCACTTAGGGGATCCCAAATTAAAACTCGAAAACAAACTTATAATGTCATATCAAAAATAAAAAACTAAAAGACACTCAACAGTACACAAAACACAACATGGAAAACTAAAGACTGAACTACACAAACCTAATCAAAACCGGGACTGATCGCGTGTTAACGTGTTAAACATGTAGTAGGTTATTATTACCAATATCAGTAATTTAAAATGTTTAATCAAAGGAAAAAGCATATGTATTTTTAATATCTTCCTTTCAGAAAGTATAGGAAACTGATCGACATTGTTAGATTGCACCAAAATTAATGTCAACTACAACGTACGGCAGATTATGTTTATGTATTTGTACATGACTGTACAATGCATATTTTGTCTACATAATATTGAGGAATTGAATACCAGGCTCTAATTACAATTCCACTAACAATAATCTTAGAACTTAATAAATTATCATGTATACGGTTCTTCCGAAGAAATATTATATTTCACAATTTAATATTAACTTTTGACAAGTTTTGACGTCCTGTTGGTCGATTAAGAAATTGCTCAATTAGAGAAAGCAACTTATCAAGTACAATTATGATGAGTGTTGTAACTAAAAAACTTAAATAGGAAAATGAATAAAATTAATGCATAATAGATTATGCAATTCCATTGTATTAGTAACATAGTACTGTGCTGTGGGGACAATTTAATCCTTCCATATAAAACTATTGAAAACTATTTAAAAAAGTTAATGAATTTAATTAAATCAACATTAAAATTGACGTATCAATTAATTTGTCAATCATGATATATACCTGTGCAAACTTCAAATTAAAACATGATTGTTGATATGTGTAAATAAAATAGAGAATGGAAATGAATGCTTTCTATTGATCGTTTTCTGATCTGGACTATATTCACACATGTGCAGTATAGATTGAATATGAATATTAATGAACACATTATCGAACCAACAATGTCATAAGCGTCACATAATTTTGGCAGGATTTTTATCATAAAAAAAACGAGGTTGCAAAGTCAAAGTTATAGCCTTTCTCCAAGACAAATAATTACACAGTTGTGATATACGTTGTATTTGATTAATGTTTTTTTTTTAAATTAAATGTTTGTATATATTGTTCTAAACAAACTTTTTTAAAGGTGTTAATATTACTCGAAGGAAAAGATCGTGTAATGTTACTTGCTTTGTTTGCACGTTTGTTTATGTACAATTTGCCTTTGTTATATATCATTCTTAGAAACCTTTTTTAAAGGGTTGTGAACATTACTCAAAGGGAAAAATTGTGTAGATTGCTTGTTTCGTTTTCACGTTAGTTCTCTGTACAAGTTATTGTTGCATCACTTCTTAGCTGTTTTATGATTTCTGTACATTGACCTCATTTTTAACATACCATAACAAGATATTGTTTGTTATTATTCATCACTTTCTAGTTTGTTTTGGAATGCGACATTTTTTTATTAAATATATAATGAGTATTTTATATTGTATAGTACAATACAACGTCATATAATTGTAACTATAAAGCTGTTGTTAACAAAAATAATTTGTGCATGTAATGTTCTTGAATTATCATATACTAAACTGTATTTTAATGTATAGATTACCATCATGTTTAAACAGTATCCAAAAATTGTAAAAAAAATATTTATTAGCTCATGTAGTTCAAATGATCAATCATGTTATAGGATGTTCTTTTCCAAGGCAGAAAACCCTGGCCGTGTTAGGCGCAACTTTTTGGAAGTTTTGGTCCTCGGTGCTCTTCAGCTTTGTACTTGTTTTGGCTTTCAAACTTTTTTCATCTGAGCGTCACTGGTTGGTCTTGATTGGACGAGACACACGTCTGGCGTATTGAATTTTAAGCCTAGTACCTTTTGTTAGCTATTATTCGACGTGTGTTTTTTTTGTCCTATATGTTCTCCCATTTATTTGTATTGTGGTCCTGTCATGTGATGTCGTTTTGGTGTTGTGTTTGACGT